GAACATGTGGTCCCTGGGCTGGAACAAGCTTCTGGCTCTAGTGTGCAGTGCCCCCTGGAGGTTTTAGCTCTAAAACCTCTCAGATGGCAGGCCTGCTAATGCACAAGTCCATATGTGGGACTGCACAGAACATTGATGATGGAATCTGCATTATGCATTGTTTGTCAAAGTTGAGTTGCTTAAGAATGGATCCACATTTTTTAAGATACAATGCACCAGATATATAACCTTTTGACCTTCCAGAAACAATCCTATTATATTTTTGAGGAGCTGCAAGAGCAATATAATGTATGGAACACATCTCTTGAAGCAATAATTGTGTGAGAAATGTGTAACACTGAAAGGAAATGTCATAAAATTTTGGAATGGAAAAGACAATCAGAATGGAGTGCATGGCTAATGCTCCAGCTTTGGCACTGCAAAGGAGTGCAAGTCCTCAACACCTCAGAAAGGTCAACCGTTCCATCCTACCAGAGAACAAACGATGATGCAATTTCTGTCCACTTCCTCAAGCACAAATGACTTCTTGCTACCAGATTTGCAACCAGCAGAAGATAAAAATACAGCAAAGTGTTTTCTACAGCTTTTATTAAAAATGTAATTACAAAAAGATTAAGTAAATCCAAAGATGCAATAAAAATTGATGCTAAAGCAGCTAGGCCAGAATGTACAATGCTGACTTCAACTGTAATTAAACTGACACACGATAATCAGTTTATGGAAGGGTTGGGATTTTTTAAGGTTCCATATGTTTCCAAAGATCTCCAAACACATATTCCATTTATAATAGCTGAACATTATCTAATTTTTAAAAATACAAAGCATAAACAAAAATCAACATTTTTTCCTAAATATTTGTTATCTTTACCTATTTTAAATCCTGTTATAAATATGTTTTAAAACTCCTCAAACTGTCTCCTCCTTTTCGAAATCTGGCTGTTAGTCAAACTTTTCTACAGTATGGATGGAATTTACAAGATAATTACTCTTATCAAGTTTATCTGAGGGCTGCAAACGTCAAACTTTGAAAGGCTTTGGGTTGGATCCAAAGGTGATTTCTGTCACACAAACACAAACCATGAAATTTTGCTCTGGAAGCACAGGGAATCCTAAGGAACACCGCAAGGAGTAACCAGAGAGTCTGCAAGGGTTCATCTGCAAAAATCATCCTGCTTCCCATTATTGGAAATTTACTGCTGGATCCAACCCCTTGTCTTGGCTCTGCAAGCTATCTGGCAATGAAATGCTTACTTAGAAACAAGCCCCACTGCCTTCATCATTGTCAGTGGAATTTCCACATTATCTTTGAATCTGTCACAAGTTGAATTAGACAAGCAAAAAATTAACAAAGATCTGAGAGGGATACCATTTGAAGAAATAGATGTTGTATAGATTAAACCAACAATTAAAACTTTTGCTGATAGCCTGGCAAATAAATAGCTCACGAAACCTTTCACTAGCTCACCAATGCACACATATCATGTTAATAATTTATAGCACAATGACAGCTCCAATGAAGAAAAAGGCAACTTGCTTCCAATCTTTAACACCTTCCCTGCCTAGGCACTTGGAAGTGATGAAGCTGCTGCTGATGGGAGGTGGATTCTCCTCAGGTTATGTTACATACACACACAAATACCCACATAAACTGTAAATGCACACATATACCCGTTGTGTGTGATTGAGAAAGAGAATGATATTATAAAGTGAGGCCCGGTAGCCTAGCAATGCAAAAGAGGTTTTCACACTAGTATGCAAACCAGAATGGAATGATTTAAAATTCAAGAAATAAGATTTAAATAAAAAAGCTTTACGTTTATTAGATACGTTGTACATGAAACGGCATACTGCCTGATTGCTATTACCTTGAATCATGCTCATTTCAAAGTTAATAGAGCCTGCATATAATCTCTAAGGGTGCTACTCTTAAACATTTCCAACATTTTTTCACTATTTTAGGAAATAATGTACGACCACCCATTTTTGAGTATAATGCTCATGACCTCAAAACTAGGGCTTCTTTTTATACCTACAACGGTTGCTGGTTTTCCTAAAACAGTGGCTTACTAGGATGGACACTTAAAGGCACTTCATTTTTCCAGTGCCCCCTTTTTTGTTTTAATCAGCCTTCCTTTTATAACGGTAAACGCAGAAATGTGACTCATCTCCATCAGAAGCACCTTCTTTTTGGCATCTTCTTTCTAAACAATTCCAGGTGGGTTTGCTGTATTGTTTGGTGGCAAAAGAGCAAGATTCAAGTCCAGTTAGCTCTTTAAAGACCAACAAGATTCCCAGGATATCATCTTTCAAGAGTCGAAACTGATACAAAGGGACAAATGAAGCATTGACTCTCAAAAGCTCATACCTTGGAAATCTTGTCGGTCTTCAGTGCTATTGGACTGAAATAATGCTCTCCCTTCCAGTCTTTGTTAAATACCTGCATCTGCTGCAGCAAAAGAAACAGACTGTCTTGGGGTGCTTTAGAAACTATATATTGTGACACAAGGTTTCATGAGCTGGAGACCGCTTCAGCAGAGCTCCCAAAAGCTTATTTCACAATAAATTTGCTAATCGCTGAAGGCCTGAAAGCCTCTTGGTAGGTTTTGTTTAAGTATGGGAACCTTAAAAGTCTGATTCTTGAGATAAAGTACGTGGGCATGGGTAGCTTCAGTGAGAGGGTAGCAGTGATAAGTGTGTCAGAGCAAAACAAAAATTCGAGTCCAGTAGCACCTTAAATTCTGACATTTTCCGGGGTATCAACTTTTCATGAGTCAAACCTCACTTTTGTCAGAGCGTAGCTCACAAAAGGAAATAACTGTCCCTCTTCAGGTGTTTACAAACACCACTCCACATGGCCAATTCATCACCAGTTGGGAGTGCGCCCCGCCTACCCCAGTTGGATCTTCACCTTTTTTGATTAGCTCTCATTTTCACCAGAGCTCAGCACGGTAATGAGGCATGCACCAGAGCTTCTTATGCTGCTGAGCCTTCTGGCCACACTCGGTAATAACATTTCCTTTCGCCTTCCTCCAACCGTCTTCCGTCTGCACCACTGGATGCAAGTGTATCTGCCAACCAAGGGTCACGCTTTATGCACTGGGTGGCCAATGAAAGCTTATGCCGGGATAAACTTCTTTAAGGAGCCATAAGGTTCTCCCTTATATCTGTGATGCTTTAGCATTGGCACCTCTATGGAATTTGAAAAAAGGAAGCTTCAGGCGAAGAACCAAAACTGCTTGCTCAAGGACAATTAACCATGAACTAAGGACAATTTATTTTATTACATTTTTACCCCACCCTTCCTGCAAGGAGCTCCGGGCGGTGTTTGTGGTTCTCCCCTCCTCTGCTTTATCCTTCCAACAACCCTGCAAGGAAGTGAGGCTGAGACTGTGATGGGCCCAACATCACCCGGCTGGCTTCCATGGCAGAGTGGAGATTCGAAGCTGGGTCTCCCAGATCCTAGTCTTGACACTCTAACCCCTATACCATTCTAGCTCTTGTCACAATTTAGGTGTGACCATTGCGGGCTCCCTTAGAAGGCAGCAAGTTGGGAGAGAAGCTTCCTGCTCTAGCCAACATGCCATAAATCATATCAGTTTCCCTTTCCCAGACAGACTCCTCCCACCTTTTCTAA